GCACTGCGCCCTCGGCCTCCCCGATTAGGAGACTGCTCATTTTGTGCTTCTTCGCCCCCTGGAGCCTCCTCTATGAGATTGCTCATCCAGGGTGGATCTTCTCCTGACCTCTTTTGAATCATGACTCCATGGATGAAGTCCTCTGCCTCCAGCTTCTCGGCGCATTCGTCGCCGCACATGTGAATCCTGATCTTCTGTCCTGGATGGCCTGAGGCCCATTTCAAGAGGGATTCCTCGCTGGTCCCTTGTGGCGTCACTTCCAACTCCACATCCGTCATTGAGCGAACGTGGAAGTTCTCGACGAGGCCGGCCAGCGTAGTTCGGGCTCCCCAATACATGCCCTCGATGTACACCGGGAGCCTTCTCCTCAACACCTCCAGTGGTACCTTTTGACATTGCACCTTCTCACCTTCTTGAAACTTCGTCCCGACTGCTGCAAGTCGAGCCTCCTCTCGGTCTTCTCTTCGTCCTTCGTCCAACTCTCCAGCCTCCCCACGAGCTGCTGGTCTCCTTCGTACGCCTCCTCCCCGAGCGGGAGGTCTCCTCAAGTCCGCTGCAGGCCGAAGCCTTGGCGGCATGCCTTCTCTTCCTCACTCCTCACTGGTCACCCTGTGAGCGATTGATATGCCTTTCCCTCTTCTTCACACCTTTGTTCTCCCCGAAGTACCGCGGGTTGTATTTCCACGGCCTGCTAGGGCCCTGCCAAGCACGTCCGGTCGGTCGAGCTAGTGGTCGAGGGTGAACTGGTGGCTTCCTGGCTGGCGGTTTATGCCTTCCAGGAGGTGATCTGGATGGTCCTCGGCGGTCTCACTGATGGCTTCGCCTTCCTCTCTTTTCGCTCCTCCTCAACAGGCCTCTCCTCTGGTGGCGCCTTAGGCGGGGACCCTTTTGGTGATCTCCTCCTTCGATGCCTCGACCTGGAGCGAGTCCTGCTCTTTCGCTTTCTGTCCTTTCGGCTTCTACTCTTTGTAGTACTTCTCCTCCGGGATCGCCTCTTCTTCTTCTCCTCCAAGTGCACCTTTGAGGAACTCGAATGCTTGCCTTCGTCCTCTTCAATCTCAACTAAACCAACCTCCCCAGAAGGAGGTGTCCGCGGCCAATCTTCTTCCTTCTTTACTGGAACCCAACTCTTGTCAACTTTCTTGGTCTCGTCCTCCTCACCTTGGTTATCCCTCCCCGGCACAGGAGAGTTTTTGGGTGATGCCTTGCTCTGGTCTGTCACGGAGCTCGGTGGGCAACTTCGTCGGCTGTAGCCCAAAACCGATTCCTCACTCTGCAGTAGACGCAGAGTTGGTTCAACTCCCCGGTGAGGAGTCCACAATCCCGGCACGGGACCATCAACTTTTGAGCCGAGATCTTATGGAAAAAAGAGACTGCAACCCCGGTCGTCTTAATTTCCGGGGGCGTACATTCATATATGTTGCTGCATTCTCTGTTGAAAGTGGTCACTGCCACATGCTGCCACATTCCTGGCTTCAGAAGGCAGGCAACAAGAGCCAGGAGTCCAGGAGCCTTCTGGAGAGACAGCGCAATTAAAGTAAGGGAACGTCTAGAGTTAGAATGCCCCACAAGGAGGCCTGACAAGAGAAGAGAGGACTGGAGGGAAAGACAAAGACAGAGCGCAAAAAGCATCAAAAGAGAAGAAAGGGAGAAACACTGCAACACAAAATGTCCGGAATAGAATAAAAGGGAAAGGAGGCCGCTTGAATGCGACTACAAGAAGGCATACGTACTCTACATAACATATGTACACTATGAGTCTAGGAGATTCTGGTGGGAAATGGGCAGGAAAACGGTACAGTGAATGCCTCCTGCCAAGTATAGTGTCAGTGAGGTTTGTGAACGGGAAGGGTAGCACCAGTCAAGATTGCAAAGTCATCTTGCAGGCCATGTGCCCTCCAGATTCACAGTCAAGTTGTTCTTCCAAAATGGAATCTGATATGGAAGAAAGGGCCTCTTTAGCAAGGCCCCCTGAAAGCAGCACTGTGAGACTGAGAGAAGAACCGATCCCAGGCTTCTCAAACGATTGCTGCTGATTGAAAGCACCTCAGCAAGAAATGTATGAGCGATGCTGCAAAAAGGAGCACAAAAAACAGGAGATTCCTACGATGTTTTAATGCCCCTAGTAGCGTCCGTGCTCCTAGTAGCGATGCCAGGAGCCCCTAGTAGCGTGGCCCTTTGCTCCTAGTAGTACGGCCAGGAGCCCCTAGTAGCTTCTTGCCTTGATGCCAGGAGGAATCTCCACAATTTTGCGGATGCCAAGTCCGTCAAGGCGAAGTTCTGCTTGCGCCTCGGTATGTGCCACATTCGCACGGTCGGCCTAAACAGCATCAAACGAAAGAGGTACTCTGCAAACTTTCTATTAACCATAGGCTGAAACAATAAGGGTAGAGTTTCGTTGGACCTCCCATGTCTTTTTCCAAGGACTGTTTAAGAAAGAAAACTGTCTAGATGAAACATCCCTTTTTTGTTCGTAAATGCTGCTAATTCTGAAACGACTCATATGATCCCATATGGATGTTTCACGGTGTGAAGAAGTTATCGATAGACTTCTCAAGTCTTCTCACTGATTGAGGCTGCTCCGGTGCCAGCCAGAAACTGACTTTTACAAAGACACACTACGCTTTGTCTTGCCTTCTCCCCTACAATGTCGCTCCACCGACCATTCGGGTACAATGCGAGGCATTGGCAACCAGTTGATCAGAAGGCTTCACGCTCGTATGCTTATCTTGTAATTGCACCCGAAAACCACTTTAAAAATCCAACAGGATCCTCCAAACGGTTTTGTTGTGAAAATTACGTCAATGGTGTGATCAATTTGGCAGGGCAGCGCGAGGAGATTCAAACCGTGAAGGTGACCAGGGCCCCCAAAACTACGTGTTTTGGCCATGATGGGGAGCGTGGACTCCAACGTTGCTGTCTCTTGTGTGGCTGCAGGGTTATCGAGGAGTTTAGATCTGTCTGGAGCCAAACCCGCTTGAGACAACCACCTGAGACCTGGGCGTGTATTTCAAAATGGTGACCCCGACCAATGCGTTTTGGTCGCTATCTTCTCTCTTCCGATCTCCGAGGTCTCCCTATTTTGATACACACCCTTCTGGCTAACCTCTTTTGTTCAACACATTTTGGTGAAGCTGGCCTGTTCATCTATTTGTGTCTTGACCTCAAACCAATTTCGGCATCCAGGCAGGTGCTGTTTATGTTGCTTAATCCTGAATGAGGCACGTGACCACAGTTGTTTTGCTCTATCAGTGATTGCAATCATGTCAATTCGTGTTGTGAATTGATGCAATTCCAAACCACCACAAGCACCATAAATCGTTAATCCGTTAACCATGAAACAACAGCGAGACTCACCCTTTCCAAGAGTGAGTGCTCACATGGTCAGCGCTGACCCCAAGAAGCGAAGATTTGCTAAATTGCCAGAAGTGCGAACTATCTGTCAAGTCGAGGAAAGGAGCTCCTCTTCTTAGTGATACATACTGAGCTTAAAATCTCCCAAATGATAAATGCGCTCTATGTTTACGGCTTCAAATCTCGCCAATAGCATCCAACGTATCACGTCTTCCACAAGCACAAGGTGCATTTCGTCTTGCCTAGCCAAACCCAAGCACTCAGACAGCAAGGTGGACATAAATACCCTGACATACTCCCTGCATAGCCCGCTGGGCCACTGGGTGTTCTGCGCACTGGGTTGTGCCAGATCGCACAAACCACAAAACGACGGCACAAACCAAACAAAACAGCATCACAAAAGGATCACCGCGATGAAGAATCATCACACACCACTTGGTGTATATAAGTTAACACGTCCGATCCTAGAGTCCTATGTTTAGTTTTTGTATAGATTATAAGTATATTATATAATGTAGAGAGAGAGAGAGATGCAGAGCTGAAGCTTCCACACAGCATACTGTGAAATCCTGCAAGGATCGGGAGGAAAGCCTGCTTCAACTGTGCCTGCGGTACCCTGCCCGTCTCATACCCTTGTCGGCTTTCAACACGACAAGTCTCTCTATGGCAACCGCCCTGAAACTACCCTTTGGACAAGCTTCCAAGCTGCCCATTCATTCATGAGTCTCTCTCTCTCTCTCTCCCTGTCTCGCAATGTCACACAACTCCATGGCACCCTGCCACAACGACTACCAGCAACGCCGCCAGCGGCAACGCGCCCAAAACCACCGGATACCATCTATACCATCTGGCACCAGCCGCACTTAGCACCTTCTCTTCGCCCCGGCACACTACTCATTCACAGGTCTCTTCTCGCTTTTTCTGTCAATGTCGCGCAACTCTACATTTGAAAAAGACATAAGAGACTTTTTAGGAGTTGGAACTTTCTGATCGAAACTTTTTTCAACTTTCAACAAGTATAGCCCGTGATGTTTCTTATTGGAACGGAGGGGCCGTGTGACTGTTTGCCCTGTTCTTTTCTGGTCACCCATTGTTCCTTGGTTCTCCCAAGTTGGAGTGAGCTACAGTCAGTGTTGCTTGAAGCAGTAGATCTTTGTGTGCATAAACGTGTTCATTCAAACTAATTCTAAATCCTGCATTGCATTCTCAGATCATAGCCATGTTTTGTCACCGGCATTGGCTGATGCATGGAGCAGTTGCATGGGGAGTCTTCGTATCAAGACAGCACAAATGCCATTGTCTGAAACTCACCAAAACGTAGTTTCATAATGTTTCATCCTCCTACTTTTGCGGGGTGCTCTGGTGATTTGGTTCAACAGCCAATAAGCCATGAGCTAGCCAGTCGTGATGCATATTTCTTGGCGGTTCAGGCTTCGTTAGGCATTTCACCTCTGAAAGACATCACTACAGTTCTTGCTTATTCAACATGTGTTCTTGCAGCTGGTTAAACAAAGAACAGCTGGCATGCCAATTCCTTCCATGAGCATAATGTCTGCAGCATGTGTCACTTAAATGATGGTTTCTTCTCTGTCCTAGCAGCCTGGGTACACACCCCAAAGTAGCCAGACTCAGACGACGTATCTTTTTGCGCTCCGCCCCTAACAGTTTACTAAAGCATTAGCAGCACTCAGGTTCAGAGATATCAGTATCCAGCTCATTGTAGGTGCACTTTGACCACTTGTCAAAAAGCTCGTGCAGCTCCTCTGTGTACTTGTCCATCCGCTTTTCCGTCTTATTCACAATTCGGTGAAAAATGCGTTCCAATCGGCCATCGCGGAAATACCTGATTCAGGCCATCATCTATCACTTGCGATGCTGGAGTCGAGGAGGTTTCAGCACCAATTAGCCGCGTGACAAGTGATCAATATTGACTTGCACCATTTAGCCAAAAAATACCAACATGGACTCCCAAAAAGATCAATGTCAAGTGCATGTCACCAGGCAAACACACCTTTATATCATCCCGAAAGACTGGACAAGGCCGGGGCGGCCAATCCACAGACATAATGAATGCAGACAAAAACAAAGCAGGGGCACAACTTGGACAGTCGCACAAACCGAGCTGAATTTACAAACGAAAATACCGCCTAGAATGCCCTGTTGTCCAAATGATATATATATATATATATGTGGTCCCCCCCCAATGTTCTCTTTTCAGTGTGCGTGATGCACTCTCCACCGAGCAGCTTCTTTTCGGCGGCAAAGCACACTGTAAGCTCTGGCTTCTTCGAAGTCCAGGCCCTGTGGCATCTTTTTGATGCCTTCCCCAGCCCATCTCTCACTTGAAGGTCGTCAGGTCCCTCCCCTGGCGCGCCTAGTGAGGGCCTTCGACTTGGAATCCTTGCCGGGTTGCAGCTTCGCGGGCCATACCCCAGCTACCCGGACAAGTGCAGTGTGACCTTTTGCAAGAAGTTTGGCAACAAGCTGCAACATGGGGTAGTGTGGTGTCCAGAACACGAACCTACAAGTTTGGCCGCGACGAGACGCTCTTCTACCTCAGCACGTCGATCCAGGTCAAGGTCCCGTGTACAAGAGTTGTGGAGGACGTCGACGATGAGGAGAACGATGACGAGGAGAACAAGCACGGACGTGCGCGGAGGTTGTTGGGGCGTGCCCGTGATTGGGAGGAGCCAGAAGCCAAAGAGAGAACTCCCCGACGCAGGGCAGCTACCAGGTCTCCAGGACACACCCCGAAAGGTTCAAGCATCAGTCCCGTATTGGAAGAATGCTCAGCTCACCAGGTTCGGAAGGGGCAGGCAGTCTGCTGGAGGAGTTCTTCGAGATCTTTGCCGCGGGGAAGGCTGATGGGCTTCGAGAGGATCAAGCACGCAAGCGACTCGGGGTTGAGCGACTACTACCACCAGGTGATCTTCTTCGACAACTGGTGGGGGAGGCGGAGTAGGAGCAGGCGCAAGGACTTTTCAAGAAGGAGTTGGCTAAGCTGGAAAAGCCTCGGCAGGAACACGAAGGCTGCAGTGATTGGAGTATGGTGGATGGTGGCAGTCAGGCCACCACCCCTGGCGATACTCCGGAGAAGGAAGGCGAACGAGCTACGTCTTTGCCAATGGCTTCCTCATTGCGGACTCCTTCATCCAGAACAAGATCCACGTTGGAGCCTCCACCTCCTCCCGGGCTAGCAGATGACTACAAACCTGGCCCTCAAGTGGAAGAAAAACGTGGGGATGGATTGCGCGTGGCGCCGCCAGGAGTTTGTCGCCCCAGACACCAGGGACTGAGACTGCTGAACCAGTCGCCCAAATCGCCAAAGCAATCCAACACCAGACCAACAGACAGCAGGAACTGGAGGCCAACCCCCTGGCGCCATCAGAGGGCTCAACAAGCAGTCGGAAGAGCTGGTGTTCTTACTTCGAGCTCGTGGCCAATATCAAGTACGAGTCACCGACGCCGAGCTGGACCAACTCGCCTCCGAGGTAAAGGTCATGAAGAACAACGACCAGCGACCGCCACCTCCTGGACCAGATGGACAAGCTTGGTTGGTGACGCCCACGACCCTCGACAGGTTCCAGACGGAAGTCCTCCCAAGGATTGAGAGAAAGCAGGATCGCCTCTTGTGGAACCTCACCTGGCAAGGGGGAGCTCGGAAGGACCCGAACCCCGCAGCACCAGCGCGTGGAACAGGGGACAGTGCAGGGGGCACGGGAACTCAGCCCAAGCCTACCTTGAAGTCTTTGTGGGCCCGAAGTTGACCCCGGAGCGAAAGAACGTGCCCCACTGCATCGCAATGGGAAGTTGCTTTGTTGGGGAAATCTTTGCCACATTGGCTGCCAGACCACCGGATGTCAGCGATCTCACGAAGGGCTACGTGGTTCCTTCTACCTTCGTGATGTTCGACGACAGTTCCAAGGACTCAGAACCCGAGCCTTTGCAAAGCTTCATGCTAACGCACGACGCCGCGTGGACAAGGTCTTCGCCCAGGTCGCCAAGGGTGTGGGGAAGCAGGGTGCTGGTGGTGAGCGCTATGATGCCTCAATTGGGTGGGACGATGGCTTCACCTTTTGAGGCAGTCCAAAAGCTCAAGCCTGACCGTTCGGTGTCGGAGGAGGTGCGGGTGGTTCATGATCAGAGGACCATCAACTACGGCGCGAACAAGTTCCTTCATCCACCCGCTCTTCAGCCAACTCACTCCCAGATCGCCAAGCGCATCTTGTGGGCCAAAGGCCGGTGCCCGGGATTGCCGGTTCTGCTTTCGAAGAACATTTCAGGAGCTTTCCGGTTGTTGTGGGTTGCCCCCGAAGATGTCGAGCTGTTCGCAGGGGAGCTGCCATGGAATCCAAGGAAAGCATTTCCGGACGGCGTGGAGGTCTCCAGTCTTGTTCAGCGGCAGCCCGGGGGAATGGACTGTCTGGCGGCGCTGCGCGGAGGAGTATCACAGAGCCCACTGCCAGCACTTCCGAGACGAGATATGGCCCAAGGGTTCGACTGCAAAGTCCTGGTCGATGACGGAGTTCTGGTAGAACCACGTGGGGCTGAGGCCGTGGGTGAGCGCGGAGGTGTTCGAGCACGACGTCAGAACGCTGCTGAGGGACAAAGCGGTGAACGAGGAGAAGGATAAGGTCGAGGGCGCCTTCAAGACCTCCCAGGCGGTTTGGGGAGTGATCATGAGCACCGAGGACGAGACCGCCTCCCTTCCCGAGAGACGCATCCAAAAGGGAGCAGTGTTGTTAGCCGATAGCTGCTTCGACTATGGCTCCAAGGACGTCACCCTCAAGCAGTTGCAGCAGTTTCGGGGCATCCTGACTGGCTGGGCGTCCATCGTGAAAGGTTTAAGTGAACGAGCTCAAGGCCGCGGACAAGTTCCTCGCTGGCATCAACGGCCATCAGAAGGTGAAACCCCGGCTACGAGGCGAAGGAAGCCAGTCTTGGGAAGAAAACGGCCTTTGGGAGCTCTTCGAGGTTTGCCAATCATTAAGTGGTGTGGGAGTCCTTTGCCACAGGTTTGCGGCCCATGCTCCCTACGATGGAGAGATTGAGTCTGTCCGGGGAATGGGAGAAGGTAGTATGGGTGTCCTCCGACGCTACGCCTTCGATGGTTGGGGCTATCGACTGGACTAACCGCCAGGTGACTCGCCTCACTACGGGGACGTTGAAGGCTTGGGCTTCTCGCGCTTTGTCTACAACACCATCGTAAAGAACTGGCTACAATCCCGCAAGAGCAACACTCGGGGTGGAAGGATCCTCATTCGGGCGCTCAACTTGGTGGATGGGACCTGTGCCAATGAGTTCTCTCTTGAAGGAACACCACGACCTATGTTGGGCAAAGCCCCTTCGGTTGGAACTCGAGAGCGGCATTCCAAGGGACCGAATGCTTCCGCAACCGGCAGGTCATGTGTGGCGGGGCGAAGAGCGCGAGGTGATCCATGGAATTGGAGGAACAGGTCGATGGCCCTTGCTCTCAGAACGTGGCGACAGTCTACAAGGCTACTACATCTATGATCGACGAGGTCCTGGAGGGCATGTACGTCGTCTTGACCCTGAAGAACTATGGGTACTTCAAGGGCGATTGCTGCGGGACCTGCCGACCAACATCCCGGTCGAGGACGCTGTGATCGAGGGGGACTGAGTCCGCCCGATGAGACTGGAGCGGAAGCCATGGCCCAGATTTTGTTGTGGCTGCGACGATGGAAGTGAGGGGAGCTGAAGCGAAACCCTCCAACATATGAGACAAGCCGGCGGTGGTACAGGGCCACCTCGAAGATGTCTTTGGAGGTGGTCAGAAGCATGGTGGTGGGCTCAGTGCGTGGGCGAGGACAATGACGAGCCCTATGTCACTGAGTTTGTCGGGTCGGCTGAGGACTCCTATGCTGGTGGCCGTACAAAGGGCAAGACTGATCCGCTCAAGATCGCTGAGAAGGTGGGAGCCCAGGCAGTCCACCTCACCAAGAGCTACGCCCCTTTCTGCGGTGATGTTCGTGAACGGGTTGAAGAATGGTTGGAGGAGAACATGACCGGCGACAAGAGTGCGGCCACCGAGAAGGCCTATGGTGGGGCTTGGGCCAAGTGGTGCGCCTGGGCCAAGAGACAAGGTTGGATCAACGCGTTCCTCAACCGCAACGTGGACCCCATCGAGAACGAGAACCGGGTCCTGGCCTATGTGGGGTACCTGGGTTGGTTGGGAGCTTCGCCAAACACCATCCGCCAGCACATCTTCGCCATGAAGACCGTGCGCAAGAGGAGCGGAAGTGGGCGACGGAATGCGTTGAGTATGGATGCTCGTCAATGGAGGTCTACTACACGGAAACCGAGGCGCCTGGGGGTCACGCCTGAGATGCTGGTTTGGCTGGGCGAGAACCTTTTGGACCCGCTCGTGAACGACCAGCGCTCGATCCTATGCGGAGGCGGCGATGGTCCTGGCGGCTTTGGAGCTGGCGTAGTTCTTCATGCTGCGGGCCAACGAGTTTGGTGAGTCCAACGGGGTGGATGAGAGCGTGATTACACGTGGGTGCGACATCCTCACCAAGGAGTGGCGAAGCCGGCAGGTGAAGCGACGGAGATCTCCGTCTTCTTCCGGAAGACCAAGAATGACCAGTTGGCCTTCGGGGACACTAAGACCTTGCAGGCCACGGGGAGGAAGCATTTATGCCCGGTCGAAGCTATGGACCGGATGAGGCAGGTCTGGACGATGCGTTTCCAACCAGGCCACGCAGAGAGAGTATGAAGCCGCTGTTCAGGTGGAGCAGCGGCCAGGTGATCAAGAGGATCGAGATCCAGGCCGCTGTGGGAGTGGGTTTGCCACCGGACGGTTCATGTCCCACTCCCTGACAATCCCTGAGAATCGGGAGTCGACGGCTGACATCGAGCTGGTGAAAAGGGCTGGGAGATGGCCTCCAAAGCTGCGGGTGTGTCTGCAGCGATCAAAGCAGCTTCCCAGCTAGGGGATCGAGTCAATCGAAACTTCTGCGTAGGCACCCAGACGGGGGGGGATCCGATCTCACACTGTATGAACTAAGGCTGGCGCTCTCCGAGGGTTCTGCGCTTCCACGAGTATAGGGCTGTTCCGAGTGACTCGGATGGTCAGGCCTTCCAGGGAAATGGTGTCGTCAACACTCACGCACGCTCTTCCCGGTACTGAGCGAGCCGCTGAGCTGCAGTTGCTCAAAGTGAGCCACCCCAACTTGCGAAGGCACCACCAAGGCCAGTGAAGCACTGGCAGCAACCAGGATTCCGCGGCGAAGGCCTGGCGAAAAAGCTGTGAGGGTGCAACAGCTCCCTAAACAAATGCCAAGGAGCAGGGCGCCCAATCCCACCATCGCCAGAAAGGACCAGGAGGGTCCAGAGCACACCACCCCAGGAGGCCAGAAGAATCGAAGCTCACGCAGCAAATCCACCGACCATGCGAAGTGCATATGCTGTGAGCCGAGATTTCTTGAGCGGCTTCATTCGCTCATGTCGGCAAGTGATAGGGCACATATAAATATGTCTCCCTCACCTTCTTCAGGCAAACTCTCTCGCTCTTTTCAAGGAGCGCCTCACAGTGGCTCAAGTGAGGCCCCAGCCATGCCTGCTGTTAGACTTCGGTGAAACCTTTGCGCTTCTTCTGCGCTGCTCTCATGAGAGCTGACTGTACCTTCTTGCAAGGTCAGTCCCTGGAGCTCAAGAGAGCTCAAAAGCCTCAAGAGGCCTCACCCTTCGGCCACCAAGCCCCAAAGCGCACCACGCAAGGTGGTGAAAGGGGACAGGAGGTGGGCAGCCAATGCTTCGAAGAGTGGGAGACATATCTTCGTGGCTACACTACGTTGCGGCAACACTCAATGCAATGTCTTCCTTACCTTCTTCAGGCAAACTCTCTCGCTCTTTTCAAGTCAAGTGAGGCCCCAGCCATGCCTGCTGTTAGACCTCGGTGAAACCTTTGCGCTTCTTCTGCGCTGCTCTCATGAGAGTTGACTGTACCTTCTTGCAAGGTCAGTCCCTGGAGCTCAAGAGAGATCAAAAGCCTCAAGAGGCCTCACCCTTCCCACTCTTGCAGCAGGAAGAGGTAGAGCTCAAAAGCCTCAAGAGGCCTCACCCTTCCAACTCTGGCAGCAGGAAGAGGTCAGAAAGAAAAAAGAGGGCTCACCCCCTCCGCTTCCTGCTTTCCCGGCATAGCTGTAAGAACTTCACTCCAGGACTTGACTCTAGCGCGCTGGATGGAAGAGAAGTTCACTTGGGCCAGTTGAGAGGTTCCTTCATCTATGTACTGCTTGGCAGTCTTTCCACAGGGCCATCGCCCCCGTGTGACCGTAGCATCCAAACTTAGAGACGGTTGGAAGTACCAGGTAGCCCCACCCCTACGCAAGCGGTAAGAGGTATAATCATTCTCAGCGAAGCCAGGCAGTAGCGAGGCAAACATCTGCTGGCAAATGCCATATACTTGTGCCAAACCGGGGGTAACCGAAAAAGGTTGAAGCAGCTCGTAAAATCCTCCGAGTCAACCAACCATATCTCCTCCTCCCCTTGCTCCAAGAGGGTGAGCTGGCCCAAGTAGGGCAAGAGCTTGTCATCGCCATCTAGGCGGTCGTGGAACATGTTGACTGGAATCAGATTGCTGATGAAGCGCTGGGCGCGCACGCTTTCCCGTCAACCTTCTTTTCTTTCTTCACCGCACCGGCCCCATTCAGCACTGGACGGCCCTTCTGGTCTTTGAAGACATCGTCCTGCTCCACCGCTGCCATCAAGCCACGCTCATAGGCCGCTTTGGTCACCTTGTTCCACTCCTCATCGGTGGCTCACACCCGAGATGTGGGGTACCGCTGGCCATTCATGCACCGGCTTGAGACAAGCTGCAGGCTCCATCAACTTTTCTCTCAACTTCTCAGGGAGGAAGGTTACGGCGTCCTGCACAGCCGCTTGCCCCAGGTTTGACCACGCCGCAATGACCTTCTCTGCATTGATCTCCTCCCTAGCCACAACAGGTACACCCTGGTAATCAAACTTCACTGTCCCCAGATGCTGAACAGTTTCCTCATAACAACCACATTCATCCACGTAGTCCAGGGCTCGCCTCAAATGATCCATGGTCAACTTCTGGATCTGAGAGAGCTCCTTCCTGAAGTCGGTGTCTGACCAGCCCCCCTGGCCTTGGAACTTCGCCAAGTAGTTCAGCGCCCTCACCATGCCAGCCACACCTTGCGCTACCTGCTCTCCCCGGGGATGGAGGTAAGACAACACCGCTTGTTGGTTAATCGGCAGCAACTCGTCGCCTCGCAAAGGCTTGGAGGATTTCTCCTCGAGAGGCGCTCCTGTGCACTTTCCCAACTGCGCCAGGCGACTAAGAGAAGACTCCTTGCCGGTGAAATGTCTCCACAAGCCACTGAACCGCTCTCCGGGCGAACGTTCTTCTGCCAGAAAATTTCTCCACGCCCTCAGGGCTCGGGCATGAGGGCACCGGTGACTGTGCAGCAGGTGCGCCACTCTCCACTAGTCCTTCTCCTCCTTCTCTCTGTCTCCTCCTTTGCCTTTTCCTCTCTCCTTGCCCTTCTTGCCGCCCTTCGCCTGACTTGACCGCGGGCTCTGGTGCCCTTCAGCTTCAGCTCCTCTCGAAGAGCCTCCGGCGCTTGGACCGAGAAGCTCTAGGAATTGGGCAGCTTGCCAGTGGCCGTCGTGGCAGCTCTTCTCTATGGCTTAGCTGGTTTGCTGCTTTTTGGGACTGTGGGGGCTTCGCAAAAACCCGACGGGGACTTCCACAGCCTCCTCACCAAATAAGCCCTCCTCATCTTCTTCACTACAAGAAAAGGTCTCTGACATTCTCTTTCTCTTCTCCTTCTTTGCTTCATGGGACCCCTTTGCACGGCCCCGGTCACCACCATCCTCTTTGCCCTTCACTCTTCCACCTCAGGAGGGTGATGCCTTCCCTTTCTCCTTCTTCTTCTTCTTCTTCTTCTTCTTCTTCTTTTTCCGCTTGGCCTCAGGGGAAGGCTTCTTCTTCTTCTTCTTGACTCCTTCACGCTTGCCCTTGGATTTTGCCTCTTTGCTTGGGCCTTTCTTCACGGTGAGCTCTTTCTCCAGCCGCTTGACCTCATCACGGGCTTTGGTCAATTTGGCTTTAAGTCCTTCCTTGTCTGAGCTTTCCCCAGTGGACTCCTCTTCTTCTTCGGCCGACTCTCCTTCACCTGGGTCAACCCTGGGTTCAGCCGCTCTATCGGCCCTTGTCCCCAGCAGCATGTCCTTCTTCTCCAAGAACTCCATGAAGGACTTGCTCATGTCTTTCTTGAAGGCCCAGCGTCAAGACCCTGAATTTCTCCACATGTATCGAGGCTCCTCGCCTTGTGACCTCACAGTCATGGGAGGAGTCCGCAAAAAAGTGGTAGGTGCACTTCGATGTCAGCCGCTTGCCCTCGCCCTCAGACATCCACCATCTCATATACGCATCACTCGCGCCAACAACCTTGGCGGTGACCCAATGTCCCTGGTCATTGGTTGACACGGCCTCCAAGATGTCTATGATGATGGTGCCCTGCGAGTGGCCATCGTTGTCCCTTGTACCTGGCTTCACGGTCTACACCCCCCGCCACCCACATTGGGGTGACGGGGGGGTCACACAGTTGCCTTCAGCCAATGCTTCGAAGAGTGGGAGACATATCTTCGTGGCTACACTACGTTGCGGCAACACTCAATGCAATATCAAGCAAGCAAGAATAAAATCGTTACCTTGTCATGGCAATAGCTTACAGTAACTCTCATCCACAGCCCTGAACAGCTCGATGCCGGACCTATGCCCAGCGGACACAGCCCGAAAACAATTTTACCAAGCAGGACAAGCACTGGGCGACCCACAAAAGGCTGCATTCAAAGACAGGACTTCAGGACCTCAACAGGTTTTCAAACTTGAAAACTGTGCAACAGGTTGTCGGCCTCTCTTTGAACATCAAGTACTCAAGCACACGGAAGGTGTAGCACACTGTGAGCACCGCTGAACAGAAAGCAATTGCTAGAAGCCCTCGCTGGGCAAAGAATGACAAGAGCTTGAAATGGCCGGAGTTGAAGAACCATATCGACATGCCCACCAGCAAGACGTAGTTGAGCAAATGTCTGATAAGGGCTTTCTCGGCATCATAGATGTAGTACGGGTTGCGGGAGAATCGTGCGGTTGGCTCGCAGTACCACTCGTACACCATGTTCCACAGGCAAACATGTACTCCAAGCAACATCACTGTACGAGCAACAAGAAGGATAAGCCACATAGATGATGCTGCATCTTGGTCCCTCCATTTGACAAGTTCGTCTCCCATTCCATTCCCGAAGAACTGAACAAAAGCTCGACCAACAGCATAGCCTTCACATTGGTTTGCAAGAATTTCTCCATTTGCACCACAAAAATTCTGGCCAAATTGTCAAGAGCAATCACAAATTGAAATGATTCAAGCAACTGGACACTATCAATGGAAGTTTCAGTGATAAAGTTCCAAGATGTACAACACTTCCTGTGCCATAAATGATGAGAGCACGCGGGAGGCCAGAGGGTAGTGGTTAAGTGCGGGCGCAGTTATCCGGCAGTTTCCTAGCAAGGTGCGGACATGTCTGGGTCGGTGGCAGCCAGTGATGTGGTTGTATGTGTTTGGGTTGGGAACGGAACTGAGCGAATCGCACTGTGGCTGTATTAGGTACAGGTTGAAAGTGCAAGAAAGCAAAAATGGAAGAGTAGGACAAGTGCAGAAAAATATCTTCTGGACAAAAGTACAGAAAAGTGGAGATGTGTAAAGACATGTGTGTGCGGAAAAGTTGTGTAGATAAAGTATCAAAGGTCTCTAGAGACAAGTAGAGAGAAGTAAGAAACAGTTGAGATGCTGCAAAAGAAAAAATAGGATCTGAAAAAATCATCGCGCCCCACTCCACCACACCAATCGCCTGAGTACATCGTTACATTTCGCCGTATCAAATCAACACGCTACACCACACCACTTCACATTACCTTTGGATACACTTGAGAGAGGAGGGGGTGAACGAAAGGTAGCAGGCAATCACAAGTAACCCTGGTAGAAGTCCACGACCGCGTGAACCGGCGCAGGGGGGATTTGATCCGGGGGGGGGGGGGGCCCCCCCCCCCCCCCCACGAACAGAATCAACTCTTACAGGACCAAATTCAATGCACAATCCCAACTCCTGATTGTAATACATTTTTGCTAAAGCAAGGAGAACTCAGGTAGCTCAAGCTACCTTTCGTGATTTGGCCTCGCCACACTGCGGCAAGTACCGTCCCAGGATGCAAGAGGCCATCTCACACTGCCGCGCCAATTATTTCCAGCTGACTGAAGGCACACGGCACACTTGCAGCCAGTTTGGAATTCCAGAGCGAACATAAGTCCTCACCTTGTGAACTTTGCCACCAATCCTTCAAGCGCAAACACGCTTGCCTGGTAGCCTGGAATGTTGAACTTTGGTGCCTGGCTGAGAAAGGGGTCACCTCCAAGGGCATTGAACTTCAAGGTGATGTTAACAGCACCTATGGCATCTACATGGCAGGAAGAGTGAAGACCTCCAGGATGCCACTGACCATTTGCCATTCGCTGAGGAAGTCAGCTAATGCTTGACCCAGGCCACTTCTCCTACCTAGTGGACCTAGTGACGGACCCCACCGCTCACTCTATGCACATGCATCGGATCGAAATGAAGGCTGACGTGTCGGCTGTGGGCCGGTCCTTCACCACACTTCGCCGCCAAGTGACTTGGGGCCAAGTGTTTTTGCCTTTCATCTTTTGGCTCTAACATGCGGCACTGATCGAACCCACTTGCTCGCAGGAAATCAGTGGAGGAGCTTCAGGTCAGCTTCTAGGGATGTTGCTGAATGGCTGAGTCAAAGATCCTGCTCTGACGGTATGGCAGCGCTACGGTCACGAGTGATCGGCATGCTGAAATGTCAAAAATGTCAGCAACAATATCACGACTACGCAACACTTCCTGATCACAAGTCATTACACACCCATCACCACATGACAAATCTCCAGTTTACAAGCCACAGTATCGTAAATCACAACAAAAGTCACACCACCACACTACAAGTATATACATTTTGCCATACTACCACACCGCTCCTTACCACAGGACAATTGCCACATTACGCTGCTTGTCCACATCAGAAATCATCACGCGTCACCGCATCATACTTAACACCATGATATTTTTCACCGCATCACAAACCATGACACGTCCATTATATATCACATCAGAAACAGTTCCTATAGATAAGGCTCTTGAAGCTTTCGGCACACTGGCCCTGCCAGAGATTAGGTCAGGTGCACTCAGTGACATGTCTGGATAGTCCTGCTTCCATCTTCTTTCACACTGAGTACACCGAAGTTGTCTCACAGAACTAACATCGATGATGTCGGTACAATCATAAATATTGGTAAGCTGTGTACGGGGTGCCGCTTCCAAACTACAACAGGCCAAGCAACGGTGTTTTGGACTTTGCCTGCCTTCCAGTGCCGGAGTAGCTGCAAAAACCAACATACCTGCGAACTGATGCATATCCTCCTGAAGTTTGTTGGCATAAAAGACAGCACGATCTTCTTGTGTCAGCTGGTAGCCCGGTCTTTTGAAGCGGTCGATCATGAGGATATAATCATGCGACATCGGAATAAAGACCAGCATTACTATGCCAACAGCTGGAAAAATATACCGGCAAAACTCAAATCCAATCAACACCACGTCATAGTTTGGCTGAACAAAATCGAACTTTGGAAATTCACTAGCAAGCATCAGCAAGGCTGCTACAAGCATCAGGCTTTGGAAAATGGTCCCGTGCGGTGTTGTTGTCTGGTGAATAGTTTTACTGACCGACTCAGGCAGTTGTCTGAGCAAGTCTTCAACTACCATGCTTCCTGTTCTCACATGTTCCAGCTCAATGATTTGCTTTCGCCCTTGATCGCAAACGCAAATGGCTGAGTGTGCAAGTGCTGAAGCAGTTATCAGGCAGAGTGAGTTCCAGAATGAATTCGCAAAGCTGGGGACCATGGCGGGCGGCTGCTGTGGAACTCCCTATCCGAATCCAAAAGCAGGAAGGTAGAGGAGTTATAAGTAAGGAGCTATCAAAAGAAAATGCTGCAGCAGTCGTGTCAGTCTTCCTAATCTTGATAGCATTCATTCACGGGCTATGGTTGCTATTGCACGCTTGCTCTTGAGCAACAGCTCACAGAAACTGCAGAAGAAAAAAACACGTTCAAGTGCCCGTCACGTCAACTGCAACCTTTATGGAATTCTCAGGTCTAGATATGTCGAATGCTTTTCCGGGCTTGGCGCGCTGTGCCCTTGCAGTCATGGCACGCATTCTTTGGACAGTCGAAGATTGCTTTTCTGCCTCAAGCAGTCAGCCTTCGGAGAACACCCACAATCCATATTCTACCGTCTGCCTTCGGGCTGTCCCATTCTGTGCTGGAATGAGGTTCAACCCAATCTGATTCTGCGATGAGGTTAACTTCCGCCAACCTCAGGCTGCATAAGTCCCACCCTTGCTGGAAGAGGCCAAGGAGATTAACAGCGCACACCAAGAAGCCATCTCACAAACTTGAGACCCCTTGAACAGCTGATATAGATTCTGACATACAATGATACCTGGACATGTAATTAAAGCATTATGCGCGCAGGTTGAGTCCTAAAACATTCAAGAGTCAATTTCCCTTTGGGAAAAAGACGATCTTGTGCAGCGACTTGAACAAAATGTGGGTAGAGCTTCGCTCATGGCACATGGAAAGGCTGCACACAGCTTATGATGGCTGAGAGCCCTTCAGAGATTGTGAAAAACTTAGTCCGTCATATCATGCAACCAACACCACTGGATTCACTGGATGATGGATTCTATTTTGACACTGGTTCTGCGATTGTTAGTAATTTCACCTTGAAGTGTTCTGCTCAGTATGAGCGTTTGCGCACGGGCAAATCACACCTGCAAGGTCACAATACAACTTCAGCACACATGGAACTCTGTTGAAACACACTTCAAGCACTCTCATATAGATTTACAACATAGCATTTCTGAACAAATATTTGAGAAACACGCAACTCAAGACGGAACAACTGGAACACACAGGCTGGAGGGCAGGAAGCTGAGAATGCACCTTCGTGGTTCTGGTTACAGTAGCTTCTATCCAAGCATGCAAATCTGAAAATTGTCAACACATCACAAACCTATGGTTGGTAAGAAACTCCAAATTGTATTCGCAATGAACTTCTTTTCAAACATGCGTTCAAAACGTGATTCGAAGACTTCTTGGTAAGCCGAGTATCCGTTGTGGTCCTACTTGTGGCGCTTACTGGGGATCTGCGGAGGTCTTTTTATGGTGATTCTGTGATGCCAAGGTACTTTGTGGCCATCGGGCGACTTCTTGTGATTCACCGGTGGTGCTTTGTGGCGGTTTGTGCTGATGTGATGATATGTGTTGATGGGCGATGACTTGTTGCTGGTGATGTGTGGAGGTGGCACGGTTCTAAGAGATAGTTTCAATGATTCAACACCAACTGGGGGGTTCTTACCAGTAGCAATTGACTGTCCCGCATTCAATCCTCACACCCCTGGTGAATGGAAGCTCTTGTATGCACGCGTAGCCAATGGACTACAAATTGCACGCAGCCACGTGCCCGGAACTAACACAGGTACTCAGTTGGGCAATGTCTTCCAAAGTTCCTGAGAGTCAACCACTGGTAAAAGATCAAGTCGCAAGATTGCCCGATACAAAACCAAGTTAAACCCAACCGGAAAACTTTGCTCCGGCCAGAGTCGGAATTCATGGGCGAGGAGGAGTCCGGGAAGGTCAAAACATTCAGGACAGAAAGGAAAGCGAAGACTAAGGTCCATGCGAAGTCCCAATAAATCTCCAAAAAGAATTCACTGCAATATTCTCCGGTATGCGGGCTGTTCCTGTCGTACGGACTGCTCAAGATTTAGCATTTCAACTTAGTCCTGGTGAGCCGGTCCAAGGGCAGGCAATAATCGGGCTCACCCCGAGCTCTTGGAAGTGAGGCACGTTCAAGATGAAGTATGTACGATATGACTGCAACCACAGCCCCAAGCAGCCGCAGCCGAAGCGAAAAAATATTGATTTAAAAAAGAAGTTGTGGGGTGTAACTGTCTCCAAGCTCAAGAAGGTCACGTTCAGAAGTTTCAAAAAGAAGGGTGCATAACGAAGCAAAGTCCACCCTGCTCATCAGCCGTTGACAGCAAACCGGTGCAACGAACAAAGAGTTGTTCCAAATACAAGCAGACTGCAGCAGTGGCCAAAAGCTTAAGATCCTCCAGCTGTCACTCACAGATCCAGCAATCAACGCAGGTATGTTTCGACAACATAGATGGGTCTTGGTTGGCCAGTGCTATCTATGTGTTCATGAGCCCCCAACTTAGCTCAACCGTCAAAAGAATAGACAGAAATGGAGGCAAATGGACCTCAAAAGCCTGGAGACACAATGAACCCAGGGTGTACACACACTTAAGCACTGTTGTCCAAACAACCCTATTGTTTAGAACGGGTGAAACGTGAAGAGACCTAGCAGTGATATAGGTTTAAGAAAATGTGTCTTCTCCAACCAGTCCAGAATCCAGACCACAGAAGCTCCCATGAGTGCGTCGCTTGAAGTTAAGACTCCCGCTACAAAAACAAGTCAGGCCTGGAAACAGGGGGTTCCTCCGAGCCCCACCACAAGTCGTTGTGAATGGCTTCTGAGCCAACAGCGTCGATGTAGTTCCCTGTAGGGTACAGTACCAAGCAGAAGAGTTTTCCAAATATGGTGCATGTTGCTACTACACTGTTACTACACCCAAGCAACTAAGCTCAAAGCCTCTCTTCAACGGCTGATCTGCTGCCAACGGTTCAACGGCGATTTCACTCGAGTCAACTAACCGGAAAATTCAGTATATGTTCTGTCGGGATCCAGAGTTCCGCAAACAGAGCGACGTAACTGTTTTTGGGAAGGTCCCCGTGTGCCTTCTTTATAACCAGGCTGTGCACGCGTGCACCCGAGACACGCATGGAATGGGCGAGTGTGACGAGTTTAGATGCGTTGACGATGCTCTGCATTTCCTGAGTCCACATCCTTTACCAACAGGGGCAGGGGGTATGGTGACACCGGCAGACCAGGTGGCATGTTCATGTCCATTGCAGTTCTAAGTTTGGCCGCATGCTATGTCCAAACACAATGAAAAATTGTTGTTGGGCAATGCTTTCCAAGGTGTCCATTGCTCCCCTGCGCTGAGTTCCGAAAAAGTGACTAGCTGCGTGTTGCAAAATTTTACACACACAAGACAAGGCAAGGCAAGGGAAGGGAAGGAAAGGCAACACAACACAACACAACACATGGCAGGGCAGGGCAGGACAGGACAACACAACACAAAACAAGACAAATAAACAGACAGGTGGTGCTATCGGTTTCACAGGCAGGCAATGCTATAGATTTCAAAAGGGTTATTTGGGCAGCATAAGTTAGAAATTGTTTTAATTAAAGGTAAATAAATAGAAGCGACGAAAAAAACAAGGCGAACAACGTGTTGCGGAAGTGCCGCTGACAGTCTTAGCTCTGCACTCGAAACGGAGCTTTGTTCGCTTCCTTTTCCGAGCCAGAGAGGCATTGCACCAAAATACCGCAGCATTGATTCCAGTCCTGCAAGTCTGCTGTCAGCTCCATGCAAACACAAAACAGAGAAACAGCCCCTTTTCCGCTCACGCTGTTATGCGCATTTGGCACAGTCATCGATATGTTGTTCTAGATGGAACTGCTTGAATACTGCCACCGACCTCTGGACAATGCCTGGCCAGTTCCATGCTCCATGCTTCCAGGTCGCGCATCAAGTCCTCCGCAGTTCGGTGACATGAGATTCCTTTTTTATAGATAAAATAGAATACAAACATCATAAAACACTGTCGCCCAAAGATTCATTCAACTAATCGGCCTTGGAACAATCCAGTAAATTTGTCCTCGACAGCTTTCTCAGCAGGCTCTCGCAGGCTCGGAGCGATCCACTTGTATGTGTCCTGGCAAAGGTTTGTTCTCGTTGCGTTGGGGTTTATAAGGGTTATAGGGCTCTCACAGCGCCCATACAACAGAGCTCCTCCCCGTTCGCTCCGTTCACAACCCGCTTCACAAGCAGTGTCCATGTTGCATCCTCCAGATCTTTCTCGAGCTGGCCACCTGTGGACGTTGCAAAGCAACAGCAACATCTCTGCCGTGGGCGCTGACGCAAATCCGAGGCTTTCTGCCTTGCTTTTTGTTCATCGTGGCCACCAAAAGGTTCTTTGCTTCGTCAAACCTCAGAATGTCAGGCCACCGAAAAGTAATCACAAAACATTGCTTGTTTGCAACGACAACCGACACCACAGGGGCGCACCATTGATGCGCATATGTAAATATTGACATGTCTACCCCTGGCCGCAAGCACGCACTTTATGCTTGCAACCTCGGATAGGCTCAAGGCCCAGTAAAACAGCGGTACTCGAACCTGCAGTCCGGTGTGTGTGTGTGTGTGCGTGTGACCACTGGATGTACCATCTGGCTGTGATCTCTGTGATTGGTCCTGATCCTGCATACATGACCGTCTTCACATTCCTCAAGATTGTGTGGGGGTCAGGTCCAATCATTGGGCTCCGGCACACGGTCGTGCTACTTGCTCCACGAACTTGCCACGCGATTCGCGATCAGTGTCATCTTGTCCTCATCATGATACACCGCCGCTCCTTCCAGGAAACCTGAAGAAAAAAGTAATCCTTCTGCTTTTCGGTCAGTGTTTCCCACCGTTCTCTTGTTGGGGGCTCCCACTTTGGCTCATTTGGGCCCACTCCATTTCAAAATGCGGCCTTCACTTTCTGAACTTCTTCATCTTTCTTTGACTCCTCAAAAGGTTCTTTCGCTACTTCAACTTCATTCATCTTCATCTTCACTTTCTTCCACTGCCAACATTTCTTGACCAAAACGGCTACAATGGCACATTGTTTGTACAGTTCCAAGAAGGACTTGGAACCATCTGAAGACCTGTGTGTAGCGAGCGTCGTTCCACCAAAAGGTTGCTGTCAATACTATGATCCAGCACGCAAGCATCAACTCCCATGATGGGTGGCCCAAGGTCGTCAACACACCGCGCAGCCTTCGCAGGAGGAACTGCTGCGCAAAAGAAAACATCAGTACTGACTTCGCGCTCACATTCCACTGGTCGCCGAAGAAGCGGTGATATTTGTCTACTGGCTGTCTTCACCTTTGATTTCAGTCTTCTTTTCGTTCATCTCCTTTGCCTCGTGGCTGCTATGAACTTTGCCTTCCTCCTTCTCCGTGGGCCGTTCCAACTTCCGGCTTGTCATGGTAGTGAACAATCTCAGGTCCGACCCCAATGCCCAATGTCCACTTGTTGGAAAACAACAACACATCCTGAAGGTATGAGATTCCTTTCGGTTGAGCGCTTATGTCCATGCGTCTGCAAGCTGTTGCTCTGACGGCGCCCATTGGCAAATCACAGCTTCTTGCAAATTTTGGCGCGCGATGGCTGCTTCCGGAGACAAACGACGCCCGCGCCCAAAGCTTCAGGGGAGGGAGGCGTGGGGATTCTCAGCCAATAGCCCTTTTGAGACTTGTCCTGGCAAGTTGTTCTGCGACATGAACTGCTACAACTGAAACCCACCAGCTTCCATGGCATTCCGAGGCGATACACAAGCTCTTCGTCGCGACGCAACTCCTTGCTGTCTTCGCCGCCTCCTTCAGACTGGTCTTGGTACTTTGGCCTCACTTGCCAGCTTGCTGACCTCAAAGCCAGTTGCCTGGTCCATAATGCGGGCGAACCATTACAACTGTCTCAATCTTGCTTGCGTTGGCATCTCTGCCTCTCTCTGCTGACCCTGTAGGCGCTCGCGCCCTCAACAGAGTTGTGGGGACGGGTGTGGATAGTGAAGTCTTCATCCTGTGCGCACGGTCTGCCGCAGACCTTGGGCACACCATCCGTCCCCCATATCCGTAGATCGCTTTCAGAGACGAAGTAGAGCCTGGGAAAACCTGGCCTTTCCGAGGGTTGGGGGCTTAAACTATTCAACCCCGAAAAAGGTTCCTCTGACATGCAGCTGTCAGCTTCATCAAGCGGGACGATGCCAAGCAGCTGAACAAGCAGCGTTGAGCAAGTGGGTGAACCCCTCCAAAGTTGTTCATCAAAATCTGCTTGAAACCCACGGCCAACGACAATGCAAAACTTCAAGACGAGCTTTGTTGAGTTTTCTCCCATTCCTCCTTCTTCTCATTGTCCTTTCGCGTCGAAACTCCTCGAGAAGAAATGACCTTCTCCGGACTGCTCCTTCTACTCTCTGGGCTTTCATCGGGAGGTACTACGCCAACTGCATCGAATTTCTGCCGCCTGCCAAGCTCTTTTTTCCACGGCTTCCTGCATAGCCTCATCGATCTCTGTCTGTGAGAACTGGGGAAGAGCTTCTTTCATCCTGCTTGGATTCAGCTCCGCGCGCTTGTTCTTCATGGTGTAGGTGTCCAGCCTTTCCGTCAGGAAGGCCGCAACCCTGACTTCCTTCCCTTCGGATGCCAAAAGAAGCTATTTGCCTTTTTTGTCTCCTGACTTCGCTTTTCTACGCTCTTCTGATTGAAGTACTGCCCGGAAGGGCATCGGGACATCATCCCATAGTGCATCACGCTTCCTCTTGCGATCTTCTTCATGACATGGTCCATGGGACCCACTGGGCGATGCTTCGCGACCTTGGGAAACAGATCGTTCCTCAAGGTTCTGTTGACTTAAGGAGCTCTCAAGTCTCTTCTTCCTTCCCTTCTTTTCTTGCCTCGGTCTCTTCAGCCTTTTTTCTTCGGACTCTTCTCTTCCAGACTCCTCTGCATTCACTCTCTGCCTCTTCAGCTCTTCTTTTCTTCTCTTCTTAGGATCTCACGAGCTTCTCTGGATTCATCGCCACTTGAAGTGCACTCATCTCTGTACACATCATCATCTCTTCCTTGTTCCTCACTGGTCATCTTCTGTCCATCTTCTGTCCATCTTCTTCCAAAGGACTGGGTCTTGAGGAGTGGCGCGTCCTTCTCGCAGGCTGTCAGGACGGTCTTCACGACCAGCGGCGTGACCTTGGCCTCACTGATCTGGAGCAGCTTCTGGGCCGTGATCTCAAGCTTCCTGTGGCAAGGAGCCAACGCCTAACCACGCCGCTCTCTCATTTTTGGCCACTGTCTCATACCCAAGCCAACCCCGTTCTTCATACTCTTCAGCCAGTCTCGGGTTTCCGTCGAAGTGCCCGACATTGGACTTTGGGTCAACCCACGGGAATTGATTCCGCGTGGCCTGCGTCCTTCATGTCTTAAACCTTGCGCAAAGGAAAGCTGCAAAACTGCGAGCACCAACAAAATTGTAAACTGTGACTTCCACTGACCAGCTCTGACCACAATGTAAGCCACCTCCACTCGCGAACGGATTCCGGTGTGATAATGACCCAACGCAAGCCAACTGTCAACAATGCGAAACAGGTCAAAGTCAGCCCTGCAAGACCAACAATGCCCAACCAACACTCACGCTCCAAAGCCCACGGTCGCAGCACCAAAGCACGCTATGGCTGCAACAAGGCAGAACCCTTGGAGGTCTTTGGCGGCGCTACCAGCGACAAGTCTACCCCTGGCCGCAAGCACGCACTTTATGCTTGCAACCTAGGTCCAGTAAAACAGCGGCACTCGAACCTGCAAACCTGTGCATGTGACCACTGGATGTACCATCTGGTTGTGATCTTCGTGATGGGTCCTGAACCTCCATCCTGCATACATGACCTTCGTCACCATCCAATTTGTTGATCTATTGACTATATATGCGTGTGTTTCTTTGCTTGTGTCTTTACTCGTTGATTTCAACTGTTTATACTCGTGTTTGAAGGAAGCCATCACTGCCGGACTGGGAGACCCACTTCACGCGACAAAGACAAGTTAACAATAAAGGAAAAATTGAAATGCTACACTCCCTACACCAACACGCCAGCAATGTACTTCCACGCACAGTCCATGCTATTGTCGTTGCCTTGGACAATAGCAGCAGAACCGGCAACACAGCTGTTCAAAAGAAGTGTTTGCAAAACTTGGCAATGGGCCTTCGAGAACTAAGTACTTTGTCTCGATTTGTTTCTGTGTGGTCCTCAAGATATTGTCCAAGCACTTGCCACGGCAACGGGTTCATCGGCGGCACAACAGGGATCCTTTTCTCTTTGAGTGTCCTAAACTACAGGAGATGAGATGCTTCAGTGTGGACAACATGCACTTTGAAGCTTTTGCACATCAACTGGGCAGCATCAATTTGGGTCCACAGGAGAAAATGCAAGTCCGTGATTGCAGGGTCGCTTTCCAGTCGTCCAGGGAAGGTCCCTGCTGTCTTTGCAAATAAGCATTGGCAAGTCAAATTTCAATTAAAACCAAGATGTGAAGCCACGCAGGTGCAACTGAAAAGGTTGTTTCACTCTGCTCCGGCAGCAGCTCCTTTGTGCAGGATCGCGCCGAACGGTGGGTTGCTGAAATGACGCAGATGCGCACACTGGCGAGAGTGTTGTCGGGCGGTGAGGGTTTTGGAGGTTTGGTTACGCAAAGCCCTCCACAAACTAGAAGCTTCTTGCTACTAGTAGTAATGGCCTCCACCCTAGTAGCGATGGCCTCCAACCTAGTAGCTTCTTGTGCCATGGCAAACTCCGTGGCACAATGTCCAAGTCGATAAAACCTTTGTCATGTGATCCAAAACCGCACAAGTAAAGCTTCAGCGCCGCGCTTGCACATCAAGCCCTCAAGTTCAGCATCCACGGGCTTCTGAGGCAGGTGACCAACTGTGGATGGATCCGATACATTTCAATACTTTTAAATTGGGTCTGTCCTATTACCTGTAACAGTGGATGATGATGGTTAGTAGAGGCCTTGTCCAAAAAGAGTAATATATAATTGTTTACTTACTGTTACGGGCATTAGGACAGACCCTACATTTAAATGCAAATTGTGTTTACCATTCACATCAGAGGAGCGCACTTTTTCACAATCGCTTGACCTGGTCTACAGCTTGGACTTAGGTGAAAGGTTGATAACAACTTTCCCGATATTGCCTCCTTCAAACAATGCACGGAAGGCACTCCCAAATGAGTCGAGGCCATCAAACACCGTTTCACGTACTTGCACCTTGCCCTCACTCAACCACAAAGCCATGTCTTCCAGGAATTGACCCCTTTCACCTTGGAGCCAAGGCAAGCAGTGAAAGCCTTGTACTGTTTGTTCTGTATATATCATGTTGGAGACATAGATCTTGTTCGGAGACATTTTGCTCTTGTTGTAATCCGAGATGACTCCACAAATTGCCACTCGACCTTTCGGTCGGAGGCACTGCATTGCAGCCTCAAAGTGCATTCCACCAACATTCTCGAAATACATGTCTATTCCTGCAGGTGCCACGTGTCGTAAAGATTTTACCAAGTCCTTGGTTGACCTGCACATCTTGTAGTCTATGCAGTGGTCAAAGCCAAACTGCTCCTTCACTATCTGGCACTTTTCTGGGCCGCCTGCTGACCCAATCACAATACAATTGAAAACTTGTTTGGCCATCATTCCAACCGTGGAACCAACTGCTCCAGCAGCACCACTGACCCAAATTGTTTCACCTTCTTTTGGCTGCAAAATATCCACCAGGCCGCCATAGGCAGTTGAGCCGGGCATTCCAAGCACTCCGACACCAAAGCTGATCTGATCTTCAGAAATCAGTCCGGTCAAGCGTCGAAAAGTCTTTGCCTTCCAAGCAGGAACAGACTGAATCTCTGTGAATGGCAGCTCTGATCCAAACAAATCGCCAGCCTTCCAATCTGAAAGATTTGATTCAAGAATCTTCCCTGCAACCAGGCCCAGCATGGGCTCTCCAGGCTTGTAATCACCATCAGATCTGATTCTATATCGCATGTAAGGGTCTGCACTCACCGTAAGAAGCCTCACAATCACACCATCTCCGATGTTTGGCCAAGGTGATTCACGAATCTCAAAGTGCTCAGGCCCAGGAATACCTTCATCCAAACAGGTCTTGAGGACCAGGGTCTTTGGCATCGCGCAGAAGGCTTCAGAACCAAACTCTGAGGCAAATCAGCATGATGCTTCTTGTCACGCAGAACTTGTCAACATCTTTATATGAACAACAGGCTGTATATGATAAGTTATAATGATGTATATACTATCTTTGAAAGTAAGGAAAGTTGGGAGAGCTAAGGGCAAAGGAACTCAGCTACACAGCTACATCAACCCACAGGTCCTCAGTCTCGGGGTTGATGTCAAACCTCGACCGATTGCAGCTGGTGAAAAAGCAAAAGCAAAATTATGGCATGTACCAAGCATTCACAATGTTTTGCTCTCTGGAGCTACGACCGGTGCGGCAAGAGACTTTTGAAAAGGCCCTGAAGCTGCTCTGGCCTTGCATCTTGAGAAAGAACCCCAAATAGTTTCTGGACAAATCATGTCGAACATATCTTGCCTGCTCAATGGAACTTTTATCCTGTGCTTATCTGATCGTGGACAAATATCGGAAACTGGCATGCGGACCTGTCCAAAAACCTGAGCCATGCAAGCCTGCCAGGCACAATGGATCTCTCAGGAAATACTGAAATATATCCATACAGTATCTCTTGTTGGTGCCTAGGCATCACCATGAACATTTCCACATCACACTCTTCACACATTTGCGCCAAAGCCTTGCCAAAGCGTTTAAGTACAAACATCATCCAATCCAATCGATTAAATGCGTATCCAAGCCACTGGGGCTATCCGTTGAGCCGCCCGAATCTCCGCAACTAAATCACAGACCTCAAAATCTCTGTGGCATGATGTGGAAAATACTCATGAAAACATGATCCATCTTCAGCTCATAGCAGGTTTCATCCAAAAAGGCAGCGTTCTTGACGCACATCGCTGTCACACACGTGCATGTATATGTGTAATGAAGAAAATCTGTTGATCATGCTGCTCACACGCGCAAGAGACCAACTAAGCAACTTACTGCACAACCAAATACAGGACGGCAGCAGCAGCAGGTCACGCAGGAGACAAGACACAGACACAGCCGTGACAACCGCAAAAATGTTGAATTCATTCATCCAGTCACTTAGAAGTAATAGCTACCACCATCTTTGGAACAAACGTCGACCAAACTGTACCAAAGCACACCTTGTGGGGTATTTCGGGTCTTGCTAAAGGGCACAGGCGCTAAAGGTTTCACAACTAACTTGTCGCAGGAGACCTTTTGAGGAGTACCATCTCGGCCAGTGTCACCTGCGCATTCCATGCCCAGCAAGAAGGCCGTCGGGAAATGGAGGTCGACACAAATTTTGGACGATTTTCCCACAAGGAGTTGGAGTGAAAGCCTGGCATCGCGCGTTAAACCCAAGTTTGTGGGGCAGGTCACTCAAGGCAGCAACTTTGTCATCCATTGAGTGTGTTCTTCGTTCGGGTTCGATGAAAATTGCAAGGGAAGTGTAGTTGACAGTGGGCAATGGACTTGTGACATCATAACATGCTGACATATGCTGACTTGTAAAGCTGCAAGCAAAATGTTTGGTCACTGATTGAAGTCTAAACAAAAACAGCCAGGAGCTTGTAGAGGCCCAAGAGCGTAGCTTGGCAGGATTGAGGAAGTTTAAGCCTGCGGCATTTAGAAGAGCAGCTGGAAACGAGAATGCTGCAAGTACCCGCAAAGAAGATGAAGGTGCAGGAAATTGAGTCTGAAAGGAATCTGTTAAAATGCTCACGATTCAGTGCACATCAGAGCAACGCACTACATTTGCACTACAAAGTTGCCGGTTCTGCCACAGCTCCCAGAAGCTGCTTCCCGTACTACATGTGCACTGTTGTTACCAAGTGGCCAATTCTGAGGTCACGCACGACAGTCTGGTGGGACACTCTTGTGGGGCACTCTTGCGCGTAACTCTTGTGGGACACTCTTGTAGAACTCTTGCCCGACACTCTTTTGGGACACTTTTGTAGGACACTCTGATAGAACACTCTTGTCGGCCACTCTTGTGGGACACTCTTCTACAAACTCTTGTGGGGCACTTTTTTGGGACACTCTTGTGGGACACTCTTGCGGCAAACTCTTGCGGACACTCTTGTGAGACACTCTTGTGGAAAACTCGTCAGACACTCTTGCGGCGCACTCTTGCAGGACACTCTGGACCACTTTTGCGCGGCGGGACACTGTTGTGGGACACTCTTGTGTGTGTGGGACATTTCTTGTCGGACACTCTCGTGTGACACTCTTGTGGGGCATCTTGTGGGACACTCTTGTAGGACACTGCTTTGGGACACTCTTGCGGGACACTCTCATGGGACACTCTTGCACACTCTTGCTTCCCTAAAAGTCACGCGCCAAGTCTCCAAAACGAGCGTTTCGTACGAGACGCCCTCCAAAAATCACAATTCAAGTCTCCAAAGCGAGCGCTTCGCACAAGACTTCTCCCAAAACTCACAGCTCAAGTCTCATTTTGCAACATGAGCGTTTCGCGCGAGACTTCCTCCAAAAGTCACACGTCACGAAACGAGCATTTCGTACAAGATTTCCTCCAACACTCATGCATCAAGTCTGCAAAGCGAGCGCTTGGTACGAGACCTCCTCCAAGTCACACGTCAAAGTCTCCAAAACGGGCGCTTCACGCGAAATTTCCTTCAAAGGGGAGGTGGGAATTCTCAGAGACAACACATTCTGCAGCCCTGCCAACGGTTTCGCAACCCCAGCCCCTCCAAACCACAGCCGATCCCAATGTCACAGCGACATTCACCTCCACCAACTGTCACGAAAATTCACTTCGACACCTCCAGCACGCACAAAGCACTGCGCCTGCCATGAAAAGTGACGACGTGACAGCTTCATATCTGCAGCCAAAATTGCACCACACCACACGATTTGGAATGATTTCAACGGCACATTCTGAGCACACCCACATTCACCAAAACCACCATTTCGTTTCAAAAACACCGCTTCCAAGCAACAGCCTGAAACGCAAGTCCCAATGTCACAGCCACATCCAACACTCACCCCAAAAAACACCACCCTCTAAACGCCAATCCCAACCTGACTGCGAAGGAAACTCAGGGTCTCATAAAACAATGCGCCTGGGCAGCGAAATCATCCTCCACACTTCAACATGTCACGTATTCACACGTTTCCTCGCTAATTCACACGAATCTGACACGTCATGCTAAAACCCTCCCCAAGAGCTTCGCCACATGTCAGCGCCAGAGCGACCTACCGCAAACGGTTGCGGAGGGTTGCAGACGGTTGCAAACGCTACGACAACAAGTCGCGAACAAGAGTCTACCCCCAGACCCCCACAGTTAAACGAGAACCCTTCGCTACGCGCCCAGGAAGAAGAAAACAAAGAAACTAAAAAAACAAAACGCGCAAAATCAAATTATCCCGGCAAGAGACCCAAACATCCTCCATGAAATTCCCATGGTCGGTCTGGACTCCACATTTTATAGCAATAAAATTGTCGCCCGCCCCCACCTTTCTTGGCACCATAGAAGATATAGGTTTGGAGGGGCGCCCTCCCTTTTTCCTGACTTAACGGTGTTTTGAAGCTGCGAAAAGGCACCCCGAAGAGGTCCGACGTTACAGCCAAGATCAAGTGAGCGTCTAACATCCAGCACAGAGTATCAGTGTAATGGGGTGAAGCCGACTGCTTAAATAGCCTGTGGAGACGCACATCTCGCTTCACCAAAGGAAAAAGGCACCCCCAAGCAAGTCAAAGATTTCTTGCAATCTGGCTACTACGCCGCTTCGCCGTTGCACCCCCAAGCAACTCAAAGCTGGCCCACCGCATTCTGTTCCGACGGATTACATCATTTCTTGCAATCCCTTCCCCACTCTCCTGCCCTCACAGATCAGACAACAGTGTTTTGAGAGACGCACACCTCCTCTTCACCTCTGGCCGAGACGCACATCTTCCTTTCCTGCAAAAATGTTCGCGTCCCGTTGCCCCCCCTTTCCTATCATCGACATGAACCCCTAGAAGACTGTTTACATTGCCTCCTGAGCCCCTCTGCATTCTGTTCCCTCCCTGTTCTCAATGAATGGCCACATCGTTTCTCGCAATCCCTCTTTCCTATCACGTCCTCCTCCACTATGCCTGTCTCGTCCACATGAACTCCCACCCCATATGGGGCGCCCTTTTGAGTCCGGCAACTAGGCCTCTTCACCGTTTAAAAAGGGCACCCCAAAGCAATTCAAATCTTTCCTGCCCTCAACGGACCACAGCATTACATGAACTCGCATCCAATATGGGGCGCCCTTTTGCGTATAGTTGACCGGCGTCTTCACCATCAAAAGAAGGCGCCCCAGGCAACTCTAACATTTCTTGCAAACCCTCTTTTCCTACCACGTCCTCCTGTCTTCCACCTTCCCCACAGCATTCTGGTTCCTCACAGATCACACCCTATCATTGACATGAACTCCCACCCCTGCTAGAAAACGGTTTACATTGCCTTCTGAGCCCCTCGTGACGCTAATGATGCACTACTAGCCGTCAATTGCATCACCGGCGTCACAACACCCCTCAAAACACTCATTTTTCCCACATTGCCATGTGGGGCTCTTGTCTTTTTGCTGCACCTCCTCGCTCCTCCGCCTTCCTCCTTCCTCCTCCTCTCTCACACAAATCATCTCTCACACAACATCACTCACACAACATCACTCACACAACATCTCTCACACAACATCTCTCACAACAACATCTCTCACAACAACATCTCACACACAACATCACTCACACAACATCCCAAACACAACATCTCGCACACAACATCACTCACACAACATCTCTCACAACAACATCTCACACGCAACATCACTCACACAACATCCCACACACAACATCTCGCACACAACATCACTCACACAACATCTCCAACAACACAACATCTCACACACAACATCTTCGACCGGTACCATTTGCGTGCTGTGTGCGGCGCTTGCTGCTTGCCAAGGGGTCGGATGTACGCCTTGGCGTCGTCTGGCGCCGGCTGGGCACCGGCGCTTTGCCGGTAGCATTTGCTTGCTGTGTGCGGCGCTTGCTGCTTGCCAAGGGGTCGGATGGGCGTCGTCTGGCGTCGGCTGGGCGCCGGCGCTCTGCCGGTAGCCTTTGCGCGCTGTGTGCGGCGCTTGCTGCTTGCCAAGGGGTCGGATGTACGCCCTGGCGTCGTCTGGCGTCGGCTGGGCGCCGGCGCTCTGCCGGTAGC